TTTAATTTGCATATGCTATCAGTAGCTAGAGATGGTGAGCATTTTTTTGTGTACTTGTTGCTCCAAATTCCTTAATAGGACACCTATAGCATAAGAGTTAAAATCAAGAATCAACAAATGGGACATATTCAAACTAAAAAGTTTTTTTCTCAGCAAGAGAAATAATAAGTGAGGTAAATAGGGAGCGTACATCCTGGGAACAAATTTTTACCCCTCACACTTCAGATAGAGCGCTAATCTCCAGAGTATACAAAGAACTCAAAAAGTTAAACAACAACAACAACAAAAAGGCAAGGTTGTTTTAAACATGATGTGGTGAGGGATGTCTAATGTGTTATGCTGCGAGGGCCTGAAACTGTTGGGCAGAACATACCACTCCATTTATGTGGATACATGTGTGTGAGCCATGAGTATTTATGAAACTTGTAGAACCTTCTCTTGCAGTGGCCAATTATAGGGACTTTCTTGTTTTGTGATTCTAGCTGGGGATCTTATCAAGATGATCTAATATTTCTTCTAATTTGGTAATTTTGTGTATATTTTTGACTAGGAGAATTTTAAGTGACTATAATATGAACAATATAAAGTTATGAAAAGTCATGGGTTTTTCCTTTTATTTTCAATAAATAACCCCCTGCCTATTGAAATGTTTACTTACCATAGTTTTCTTAATTGTAAAAGATGGTGGCTATAGTCTTTCCGGTCCTAACTATAATACCATAATCCTAATTCTAAAATTTGATTCCAAATTCAGCCAGGATGACTTGACAGTGTAGCAGTGAAATTTTTATTTTGAAGTCAGAAAAACTTTTGGATTTGATGGCTGTGTGAGTGTGACTCTGGCATATACTATTTATGTGAGTTTCAAAATATGCTTTTAGGGGCTGGGGGTTGTTGCTCAGTGGTAGAGCACTTGCCTAACATGCACAATGCAGCAGCAGCAATCCCTCCCCACCAAAAAAAAAAAAAAAAAAAAATAAAAAAGTTAAATTAAAAAATTTTTTTTTTTTTTAATACAATTTTTAGAAAATTCTTAATTTCCTCAACTGACCTTTATAATGTTCCATAATTCATTAGCATTTATACTCCTCTCTGATCACTTGTTCCAGACTTTTTCCTTTAAATTCTTCCATTATGCTTCCTGCAGTAAATTTTCCTGTACTTCAGGATCTTCTTTCTTAGAAAGGTGTCTTTCATGACTTTGGGGATTTATATTTCCACAGCAGTTAACAGCCAGATCAAAGATGTAAGGAGGTAAGAGCTCAGAAATAGTAATGTTCTCCGACAGTTTGTCAGTTAATAATAGGACATTTAAAAGGCCTTAGAGACTATTTGACTCCTTATTTCATCGAGTCTTCTTGTTTTTCTAAAGAGAATTTTAATAATGGGGAAGTGAGATTGTTGAATAGGAGTTACTCTTATTATAGATTAGATTATATTTAATAATTTTTTCCGATTTCTGATTATCACCCCTCTTTTTTTTGACAGTGTCACTTTATAGCATTATTCTGGCATTAGAAATGGTAAATTGTGTTACTATTAATTATTGTCAGCAGTGAACTAGGAGGGGTTTGTTTTGCTCAAAACTGTTTCTGGAATTTTCCCTCTGTTTGAAGGCAGACTTAAAAATATTGAGGTTATTTAAATTAAAAAGCAGCTTATGTTTGAGTATTAAAAGTTTGTTGTGAATATCTACATCAGGTTTATGATTAAAGTATAAATGATTAAAAAGAAAAGTGTTACTAAGTGGTCTTCTTTCTTATTAATATGCAAAAACAATTAAATGAATTCAACTCTGGGTAGAGGAAAATGACCTAGACATTATAGCCAGCCTCATCTGCATCTTTCTACTGACCATGATATAGGACATTCTGAACATTACCACTTAAAACTAACTTTTCTTTTTAAGGGTTCCCGAAATTGTGCCTGCTGACTCCAGGTCCACCCTGACCCCACAGCATAAACCATGCTGTGATGTCACAGCTACCATAGAACTCCAGGGTAGTGTTGAGCTGGCCCATGTGGGCTCAGGTAAGTCCTGGCTTTTTTTTTTACCATTTGGCATTCTTTTCAAAGTGAGTTACCATTATGATTTTATGTCATAAAGGAAAATAAGGCAAAACTTTGAAAACCGTGCCATACATGGGGGAAAAATAAGTCTATTTTCTAAATATCTATGAGCCAGCTTCATATGCTAACCAACGGAGTTCCATAGTAGCTGTGAAGTCCTCGGTGACTTATTCTCTTGTGGCTTCAAAATACTATAAGCTCATGGCCCAGCTCATAGGACAACATGAGCTGCTACGGCAGGTGCCACCATTTTTTTTTTTTTTAAACTTTGTAGCTAGTAATGTATAACACAGTATTTTTCACTTACTCTTTAGATCTTCCTGTTTTTAAAACTGTATTAACACTTTTCTTTGTAATTATGTGACTCTATTTAGCTAATTATGCATTTATTCAATCCTTTTGAATGTATGATGGTACTGCAGGTTAGTTTTATACTGGTAATCTTCTCAGAGCATCCTTAGTTGTTTTTTTTTTTGGTTGTTGTTTGCCTTCATTGCATGGAGGAGGAAGGGACAAAATGTTTGCTAAATTTAAAAA